CGCTCTGCTTATGACGTATGTCCAGATGGCGCCTGCTCTTTGTCTTGCTCGCCCTTGAGAGTGAGCGGAGAGAGAGAAACCCGTGTCCGTACCAGTCACCTTTTTTTTTTCTCTCTCTCTCTTCCAGTTAGCCTGGTGAACCCCCCCCCCCGGGGGGTCATTCCCTCTAGTCTCCTCTCTGCTTGCCTGCCGGTGTCTCAGGCTATTGAGGTTCGGCTCACCTCGCGTTCCAGCGCTGGTGTGTTGAGTCTGCCGCTGGTGTCCCGAACTGTAAGCTCCCACGCTCTCCACGCAGGTCCACTGTGAATCACGCATTCCGGAAGAGTTTCTTCTGCTGTTTCCTCCCCTACTCTTCCTTGAACCTGCAGTATCTCCACTTTTATTAAACTATCTCTCCCCGGACTATCAGTGTGCTCCCTTCCTATTCCACCATCTTGCCTCCTCCCAATTTCTGAAACATGTTAAATATCTCAGTGTAGTAGATTATCTGTTGGCAGGTCAATATGATTAAGGTACATACAGGTCTAAAACTAATTTAGTTATTTAGCGATTTGAACTTAATCTGTAGTGATCAATTTATTTCTAATACGTTTGGTTTCTAATGTCTAATATTAATGTTTATCCCAGATTTTGTTATCCATATTTCCCTTACTGTTTTGTACATTTCCGTATCTTTGTGTCTTGTATAAAATCTATAACTGATTTTTAAAACTTTTGATGACTACTAAGAAAGATGAATACAATTAAAAATGGTAGCATGGACTTGATCAATTTAGAACTCTTTTCCAAGATGCATACTTTTTAAAAATGAAAAGATGAACCACAAAGTAGGAGAAAATATTTTCAAAATGTTTTTTTTTGACAGGCAGAGTGGACAGTGAGAGAGAGACAGAGAAAGGTCTTCCTTTTGCCGTTGGTTCACCCTCCAATGGCTGCTGAGGCTGGTGCACTGTGCTGATCCAAAGCCAGGAGCCAGGTGCTTCTCCTGGTCTCCCATGGGGGTGCAGGGCCCAAGGAGCTGGGCCATCTTCCACTGCACTCCCAGGCCACAGCAGAGAGCTGGCCTGGAAGAGGGGCAACCGGGACAGAATCCGGCACCCCGACCGGGACTAGAACCCGGTGTGCCGGTGCTGCTAGGTGGAGGATTAGCCTAGTGAGCTGTGGCGCCAGCCCAAAATATTTCTGATAAAGGTCTTAGACCCAGGGCCGGTGCCGCGGCTCACTTGGTTAATAGTCTGCCTGCTTCACCAGCATCCCATATGGGTGCCGGGTTCTGGTCCCAGTTGCTCCTCTTCCAGTCCAGTTCTCTGCTGTGGCCCGGGAGGGCAGTGGAGTGTGGCCCAAGTGCTTAGGTGCCTGCACCCACGTGGGAGACCAGGAAGAAGCACCTGGCTCCTGGCTTTGGATCGGCGCAGCGCCGGCTGTAGAGGCCGTTTGAGGGGTGAACCAACGGAGGGAAGACCTTTCTCTCTGTGTCTCTAACTCTACCTCTCAAAAAAAAAGTCTTAGACCCAGAATATATAAAGAACTCTTAGAACTCAACAGTAAGAAGATAACCAGATTGAAAGAACTGGCAAAAATGAAATCGGCAAGAATTGGTCATTTAGAGGAAAAAATTAAAACTATGATATAATTATACATTTACTATAATGGCTTAAATAAATCAACAATTCCAAGTTTTGGTGAGGGTAAGGAGGAACCAGAACACTCATCAATTGCTGGTGAAAATATAACATGATAGAGCTACTTTGGATAACAGGTTTTTACAAAGTTAAACATACATTGACCAAATGACCCAACATTGTCACAATTAGGTATCTACCCAAGGGAAATGGACATATATATCCACACAAAGACTTGAAAGTGAATGCTCGTAGAAGCACTATTTATAATGTCACAACCTGGGAACAACCCAACTGTCTATTAACTAGTTTATGAGTAAACAAAATATAATCTATCCAATGGACTGCTACTCAGCAATGAAAGATTAAAGTCCTGAAAGATACTGGAAGAATTGCAAAGCCAGTATGCCAAGTAAAAGAAGCCAGGTATATACTATATAATCTCATTTATGAAATTCCAAAAAAGACAAAACTATAGAAACAGAGATCATCATTTGCTAAGGACTGGAGGCAGGAAAGAGATTGATGGCAAGTGGATACAGGTTTTTTTTTTTTTTTTTTTTGCATTGGAAGTATCCCCAGATTGGATTATGGTGATGTTTGTACAATTTCATGAAACTTAGCAAAACAGACGAATAAGTACTTGAAATGGATGATTTAATGATATGTAAACTAGACAGGAATAAAGCTAATAAACATGAACAAAGTTCAGATAATCTTTTTTTTAACTAGAGCATACAGTCTGCAGAGGCAAGCATGTCCATACACTATGGAGTGGTTGATAAGAACCACAGTCTCAGCAATCTGTTGATCATGATAGACCTGAACTCTTCTTCATTGACAGCAAATACAAAGTGTACCTTCTCTAGCCTTGAGGTTCATGAAGTTCATAAAGAATTCCTCTGAAAAGATTAATTTTACAAGCAAGTCACAGGTGACTCATTTCACCCTTAAGAATACTTCTCAAATCGACCTTTTTGTGTTTCTTGGATATTTATTTTCTTGATTTTGGCCAATTTGAACTATCCTGCAGAATTTAATGGACAAGATTCCTTTCAGGTAATTCTTTCTGGAGTCTTTGTATTTTGTAACAGATATTCCTGGGCAGACCAAGCAGCACATCCTTTCTATATGGCAAGTCACTGACTCCCCTCCAAATGCCAAATCACTTAGAGGTTGATACGCCTCAGAGACTGCGGATGGAATGATCATAGGCTGAATAGTTCTGAAGAGGCCTCTGAGGAGAAGATCCTTTCAGAAGTGAGGTCAACACAGAGCAGTCCTCTAGGTCTTCCAGCTTCTCTACTACCTTCACAATACTTTCTGCTGTGTCATTGGGCAATGTCCTGGAAGTGTTGGCTCTGAACTTTTTCTGTAGATCCTCCTGGCTCAGTGGCTTCCTCCAGTGACCATAGAAGGTATCGCAGCGCTCGGTGAAGGTGACTCCACCCTTGAGGGTGACGCTCACCTCACAGTACAGCGTGTTGAAGCTTGGCAGGTTGTCCAAGGGGTGTTCCAGCTCTACTTTCTTGAGCAGCTCTCTCACCTGTGGCCTGTTGATCTGGGAATGGTGGAATGATGGGACCGTGACATCACCATCAAGCAGCATGGCACAGGCCACATACTGGAAGGAATGACGAGCTTCGTGCTCTGAGTCTGGGAAGGGCCTGTTGACATATGGGACATCTGGAATCCTGAGCACTATTCTCTGGATGTGGTCAATGGGAAGCAGGCCTCTGTCTGTTACAAGGCGCTTTCGCACAGACTCGGCTGCCTCAGCTACCCAGTGGGTAGCCAGATGGGCAGGAAATCGCTTGACAGCAACATCCTGCTGGTCCAGCAGCCAAGTGTAGGTAGCCAGGTTTGGAAGGACTTTGGGGGAATAATTGTCATAGAAGGCCCCAAATCCAACCTTCAGGTCCAGGATCTGCTTGTTTGCTTGGAGACCCAGCATTGCCAGAAAAGCAGCTTCTACCCCAAACCTGGCAGCATTGCCAACATGAAGGGGCTTGGTCTGGGTGGCAGCATTTGCCATGGGTGCCCCGGCATGAGAAACGGCAATAGCCAGAGCCTCTTGGCACTTGGTCAGGCTGAGCCCTAGAAGCTTGGATGCAGCAGCAGCACTACCCAAAGCTCCTACCACCGAAGGGGGATGGAATCTGAAAATAAAGAAGCGGAGTTAGAGACGGACAAATCTTATCCACCAGCAAACAGTACGGCGTAGTGGTTGAGAACATTGATCATGGAGTCTTCCTGCCTGGGCTCAGATCTCGGCTGGTAGAAAGTTGTGTGGTCTTGGGAAAGTTAATCAACTTATGTACTTGCCTTTCATAAACTGATAATAATAATGTTTTATCTTGTAGAGTTTTGAGTCTTAAAGGAATTAACATGTTTTACAGTAGTGCTAACACATAATCAATTCTTTTAAAATGTCATTGTGAATAATTGCCAGAAAAGCTAAGGTTGTTAATTGCTGAAAGCTCAGCGAGTGAGTGTGAGGGTCTCGTAGGAACTGTGAAAGTTCAGAAACCAGTATTTCAGTGCAGGCCTCTTCTAGGAGGCCAAAACAAGTGACAAAATAAGCCTGAGGCTGCCTCCTCTCATGCAGCCAACATTAGGTCTGCAGGATGATTTGTCTGGGTTAGGATATTCTCAGTGTTCCCATCATCCTGAAGAAACCGTGTGAATAGCAGAGTAGATTCTGCCTCAAGGATGAGAATAGGAATACTCAGAGTACCCCTGGGTACCAGAGGACATAAGTCACTTGGGATGACCAGCCCCAGTTTACTTCATGGTCCCAGCTGCCTGATTGGCTTTCTAGACTGAAAGGAAAAATTTGAAAGGCATTCTCCAAGTCATACTTTGATATATAGGCAGGAGGTGTGGCATCTGAGTGGAATCGGCTTTTCTGTCAGCACTAATGTTCACATCCTCAACTGAGCTGTTTTCCAAGTTGAAGCTCTACAGAGGTCATGACTGACTGAGTAAGGGAATGTGGCCATCTCTTGATGTGGCAAATTCTCTCCATACCTCTTTGGTATGTTATTAGCTTCCTTGGAGAAATGCATTAACTGGCCTTGGACTTCAATTCCAATGTTGAAAGCCAGCAGCAAATCAAGGCCAGAAAACTTTGGACTCTGAGGCAGGGCTTCTGATAAAGCTGTGATGACAGGAAGGACAGCCCCAGAAGGGTGTGTGGCAGGGTGCCATGTATCGTCAAAGTCCATTGAGTGGATCTAGGTAAACAGATATAAACGACAAAAAAAGTATTTATTTGAATTAAATGGCTTTTTGGATCAGCAAGGATTTAGTTCAGCAACAGCTTTGATGTGAGATTTCTTGATCTAATTCTCATAAAATAAAACAGAACTGGCTGTGATTATAAATTGCACTGAAAACGCTGTCCCTCTCCCCAGAGGAGGGCAGGACCTTGGAGAGCAACTTGTGAGCTCTGAGGAGCTTGGTTCTTTATCTGCCACAGCCCACTGAAGATCTATATTCTCTCCTTAAAAACAAAACTGGGGTGGGCCATTGGGTCAGCAGTTGAGACAATGTTTGGAACCCCTGTGTCCTGTATCAGAGTGCCTGTATTCAAGTCCCTGCTCTGGCTCCCACTTCGACCTTCCTGCTGATGCACACACTGGGAGGCAGCAGGTGATGGCGCAAGAGCTTGAGTCTCTGCCACCCACTTGGGAGATCGGGGCTGAGTTTGTAGGTCGTTTCTTAGGTCTAACCCAGCCCTGGCTGTCATGGGCATTTGGGGTGGTGAAGCAGTAGATGAATGATCTGTCTGTCACACACATATAAACACACATTCTCTCATTCTCATTCTCTCTCTGCATTTCAAATTAAATGAAAATAAAGTTGAAGAACTCTGCAGAATCAGTGGACTCTCCTTCTCCCTACCTCATCCTCTAAACAAGTCTCACTGAAAGTTTTTCATTTATTCTGTATCCTGTCATATTTGTGTACCTGTTTATTACAAAGTAATAACAAACTTTGAGAGAAGTTATAAGAACACGGGAACCCTGGAGCCCAGTTTTAAAAACCATTTCATGCTGTAAGGTTTTACTCCTCTTTATCCCAGCCATTCATCTATTTTGAAATAGTTGGTAATAACCAGAAGTTCATTTAAAAATATTTTATGTCTATTTGATATGGCTGGTGGATTTCCCACTGCTTGCTGGATGTTTCCTCCTGAATGCACCCCTGGGTTTGACTTTGAACATTCTAAAGTACTATCCCCATAAACCCTGAAAATCTATCAGAAGTCCCAGTATGTTCATGTCCGAACTACATATCTTAGACTGCCTCTGACATACAGCAAGAACACAAAATAATCTTCTATATGAAAATTGCTGGTTGATTTTTTTTTGTTCAGAAAGTAGATACATAAGGATTTTATTCTTTATCTATTGAATAATGAAGAGCATATTACTGAATGGAAAACAGCACCCACAACAAAGAACTGAAAAGGAATTATGTTTGGGTATTGAGTTACATATTTTTTTTTTTGCTATATACATTCAAAGGTTCAAATTTTGAATACCCTTGGGGGTTTTATCTAAATTCTTGCATTTCTTCCACTTCATGATTTATTTAAAAAATAGCAGATTATTGTAAAAGCATGACAACTGGGTCTGATATTGCGGTGCAGAAGTTAAGCTGCTGCTTGCGACACCACCATCCCATGTTGGAATTTTGGTTCATGTCCTGGGGGCTCTGCTTCCACTCCAGCTCCATGCATGTGCCAGGGAAAGCAGCAGAAGATGGCTTAAGTGCTTGTGCCCCTGACACCCATGAGTTCCTGGCTCCTATATCCCAGTCCCAGCTGTTGAGGCCATTTGGAGAGTGAACCAACAGATACAAGATCTGTCTCTCCCTTTCCCTGTTTCTCTACCTTTAACATAAATAAAACGTCTTTTAAGAAAAACCATGGGCCGGCGCTGTGGCTCACTTGGTTAATCCTCTACCTGCAGTGCCAGCATCCCTTATGGGCGCCAGGTTCTAGTCCCAGTTGCTCCTCTTCCAGTCCAGCTCTCTGCTGTGGCCCAGGAAGGCAGTGGAGAATGGCCCAAATGCTTGGGCGCCTGTACCTGTGTGGGAGACCAAGGAGAGGCTCCTGGCTCCTGGCTTTGGATAGGTGCAGCGCTGGCCGTAGCGGCCATTTGGGGAGTGAACCAACGGAAGGAAGACCTTTCTTTCTCTCTCTCACTGTCTAACTCTGTCAAAAAAAATGAAAGCTGAAATTAGTGTATACAATAGAGATCAGGAAATTTCTTCTCTGAACTTCAGTTATCTCATATCTGTGTCATCTATGCCATATTGAAGTTGGGGGCAATTCCTAAGACATTTCCTGGCACCAAAATTAGGATGATGGTCTAGTAGTTGGGAAAATGTAAAACTCCTTACAGCCACTCCATTAACAAAAGCAGCATATGTAGGTGGGAGCTTGATGTCTGGCTGACCCCAAACAGTGCTGGATACACTGGAAGTGTAGATCTGGAAGAGAAGACCAGTGGGACAGGGAGTGAGCACAGTATTCCAAGTCACCGTTTCAGGCTCTGTTACCTTTGGAGGTGTCATGTTAATGGTTATCACTTGAACCCTTTGTGCTAGTTGGAAGCTTTAGTCATTGGGTCACTCTCCTTGTACAAGAGTATGCAACTTTGTCCATGGGAAGGAGAAGAGATGCTGTGGCTCTATCACAGATTGGATCCAGAGTCTCAAAATGTTTTACTTCTTAGAGACGAGCACTGAGGAAGGTGAAGTGTGTATCCTATGGAGAGTGGACGGTGTGTCTCCCACATCCATATCTTCTGCTCTGGGTACCTGAGCAGCTTTTCTTTCAGAGAATCTTAAAGACTTTGCATAAACAAATGGTCAATGGTAGATACTATTGCTTCTAAGACAGGATAAAGTGTGCTTTCAGCTATAGGAATAAACTGAGATATTACTAGTGTATGGTTTTAAGGCAGTGACTTAGTAAAGGATATGGATGAATATTAAAACTAATATAATAACACCAAAAAGGAAACCTGTTGAAGTGAAATGGACACTATGGGAAACGGTGACTTGATCAGCATTGCCCTGACTGTTAATGAACAACTTAATACATTATCCCTCTTAGTAGTTTTTTTATCTGTTCTACTTAATATGACTGGTTTAATTCTGTAATTAATACACAGTTATTCTTAAGTGTTGAAAATTAACTGAAATGTGATCCCTGTTAAACATAAGAGTGGGAATAAGAGAGGGAAGAGATGTATAATTTGGGACATGCTCAAGCTGACTTGCCCCAAATGGTAGAGTTAGAAACATACCAGGGGATTCCAATTCAATCCCATCAAGGTGGCATGTACCAATGCCATCTCACTAGTCCAAGTGATCAATTTCAGTTCACAATTGATCATAATGAAAGGACTAAGAGTCAAAGGGAGCACATAAACAAGTCTAGTGCCTGCTAACACTAACCGATAGAATAAATAAAGGGGAGAGTGATCCAACATGGGAAGTGAGATACTCAGCAGACTCATAGAATGGCAGATGTCCTAAATAGCACTCTGGCCTCAGAATCAGCCCTAAAGGCATTCGGATCTGGCTGAAAAGCCCATGAGAGTATTTCAGGCATGGAAAGCCAAGACACTCTGGCAAAAGATCTCTGTGAGTGAGATCCCAGTGGAAAGAACAGGTCTTCAAAGAAGGAGGTACCTTTCTCTGAAGGGAGGAGAGAACCGCCACTTTGACTACGACCTTGTCTAAACAAGATAAGAGTCGGAGAACTCAGAGGGCTTCCATAGCCTTGGAAACTCATGACTGGAGCATAGAGAGATTACTGATGCCATAGACAGGAGTGTCAATTGGTAAAGTCAACAACAGGAGTCACTGTGCACTTACTCCTCATGTAGGATCTCTGTCCTTAATGTGCTGTGCATTGAGATTTAATGCTATAACGAGTACTCAAACAATATATTTCACTTTGTGTTTCTATGGGGGTGCAAACTGTTGAAATCTTTACTTAATGCATACTAAACTGATCCTCTGTAAAAAAAAAAAAAAAAAAAGAAATTATCAATTCCCAACTTGACTCTCACTGGGATTAAACATGACAATAGGTCTGATCTGATTTCATCATCATTTTAAAAAAATCATCTATTATTTTTCACTTTATGTTTCTGTGTGGGAGCAAACTGTTGAAATCCTTACTTAATGTATACTAAGCTGATCTTCTGTATATTAAGATAATCGAAAATGAATCTTGATGTGAATGGAAGGGGAGAGGGAGTGGGAAAGGGGAGGGTTGTGGGTGGGAGGGACGGTATGGGGGGGAAGCCATTGTAATCCATAAGTCGTACTTTGGAAATTTATATTCATTAAATAAAAGTTAAAAAAAACTAATATGATAAAGCATAGAAAATCATAAACCATATAGAACATGCTATATTATAAAACAAAGGATAGAGTAAATGAAACATGTGTGCCCCCTCCCCTGGATTTATCCCAAAATATGCCTGTGTGCACACTTGACTTTTATCTTTGAAGCAGACTTTGAACTTACTTTACTGTATTGGCTGGCAATGTGAAACACTTCTGTATTGGTTCCCAGGAACCCCACGCCCAGAGTATCCAGAATCATCCTCTTGCTCCTTCGAATAACAGGATCTGTCAAGTGTCCCACTTTCAAGCCATGGATCATGTTGGCAAAGCTTTCTGTGACAGACTTTAAAGGGAAGGTGGTCAGTAGTGCTGCACTCCACTTCTTAATTTTGAGTAAGGAGTTTGGTTCCATTAGTGGAAACCCAGTAGATGAAGTTTAATTCAGGTTCTAAGAAATAATGTGTGTTAAACATCTACTCTGTATGAGGCATAGAATGAGGAAATGCACAGTAGCTGGTTTCTGTGCTCAGGTTAGTTAAGGACAGTGATGGAAAATAGTGAAGGTAATTATAGAAAGTCAAGAGAAGCAGGTGCAAGGGACAACTTGCCCAGTAAGAGGATAGCTGGCATTGGAGAGGGAGTAACTGCCATTTTTTAAGATACATGCCCAGACTATGTGGAACATTTCAAATGCATTATCCAGTTAACACTCACAGATGGAGTTTATAGAGGTAGTTTATAGAGGTAACTAAAGGTAGTCTGAGTTTGGCACATTTCAACTATAGAGCTGCATGTAGGAGACTGAGGTGGGAGGAAGGTGAATTTTCAGACTAGGGCTGAATGATGAACACTATGTCACTCTAAAGTTGATGACATGGATGGGAAGCCATTGCACTGCTTGAGAAAGTTAGACGTTCAATCAGAACTGTTTGCAAAGATCTCTGCATTCAACTATGTATTAAAATATATGCTCGTTTAAATTTTTTAAGAGTTATATGGTAGTATCCCCAAGCTATCTGCAGAAGTAAACAAAATTCCTGTCAGTTTTTCTAGGCCACTAAGTAACACAAATGACAAAGTTCAGGAAAAATGTACATCCCACAGTAAAACTACATAAGCTGTACAAATAAATAGGCAGTATGAAACACAGAGCCCACAAAGTGATAAATTATGAACTTTTTCCACAAAGATAAACAAAATACACAATGTTTAAAGTAATGAAAGGTACACTCATTATGAGATAGAATGACAAAATATACAAAAAAAAATTGGGGTCTATTATACAGTCTTGATGAAAAACAATTCAAAAAACGGATGGTTAAGTAGATTAGCTAACCACAAGTTAACAAAATAAATGATATAGAAAGCAAGCTACAAACAATGATAAATACAAAAGGAAGTAAATACACGAAGAAAAATGAGAATTTAATTCATGCCTAATGTGTGCCTTAGATGAAGTTAATAGAAACCGAGGTAAGCATTTTTTAAAGCAACAGGCTGTGAAGGTCCAGAATTGCTGAAAAACTTTGTTGATTTGCAACAGTCAATGAATCTACACAAGTCCCGGTCATAAATCAGGCTGCACTATGGAGTTCCCAGACCATCCTTGGAGGACACTTCACGGTCTCTCTCTACGGTGTCCCCGGTGTTCCACTCCAGTATTGCGGGCCAGGTCAGCATGCCAGGTCAGCATCCTCCACTGCTTTCCCAGGTGCATTAGCAGGGAGCTGGATTGAAAGTGAAGCAGCCAGGACTCAAACCACCAGCCATATAGGATGCTGGCCCTGCAGGTGGTGGGTTAACCTGCTATGCCTCATTAAAGTTCCAGCCTTAAAATCAAATTATTCAATGCATAGACAACTATTTTGTTTCTGTACATCTCCACAAGAGATAATATCTATTGTGTGTGGTTGAAAACATCCACTCAAGTCATGTTTCACTCTATGCCTGGACCTTAGTACCTCTTAGTCAATTTCAGCTGCTTCCCCTCCCTGTTACATTAAAAATCATTGTGCAACTTCCGTTGTCTTACTGAGCATCAGGTACCTCCCTTTAAACTGGTAGCTTTAGGGTGAGGGGTTATTGGATTGGGGCCCAGGCTGGCTGAGGCTCTCCAATTCTGAGCTCAGGGCCAGGGTACAGTTAGAGATGGAACCGGGGCCCATTTGAACGTTCTTCAACGAAGCCTCAGGATAGTCCTATTCCTAGAGTCTCCAGAAAAAGTCCGCAGATGCCCGCCCTTCTTCAAAGGATAGGCTACTTTTTGTGTCTCTGAAGCTTTGGGAAAGAAATATGGAAAGAAGATGGCCGGGAGACAGAAGGGATGCTGGCAAAAACATTTCTGATTTGGGGAGAGGATAACGATAATGTTGAATTTCATGCTGCTGGACACTTGGGTAAACATCTTTGAGGGCAGATGGAGGAAGACAGGGAAGGAAAAATAGCAGGCTTGACAATCCGCTGGGTAAAACTTCTTTCAACTATTGAAAGGAGCCTTGGATTAGGTAAAAGAGCCTATTTTTCAGTCTCTTCCCATCCTCCCAGTTCCCACAGTTGTTCCATCTCTTCCGGGTTACATCTGGCCTGGGCTGCCTGATGGGGAAAGGTGTATGCCTGGGGAGTAGTGGGAAGTGGGTGCTGACATGGAACCTGGGAGGTGGCTGTGGCATCCATCCACATGAGACCATGCTGTTGGTGACTTATGAAGGTGGGACCCCAACAGATAAGTCCTGAACATGACCTCGTGAGCCAAAGAACAGATAGTCTTCTAGCCCCTGAAGGAAAGGAACATAAGAGGGGAGAGAAAAAAAACAACAGCTGTTCTGCTGTCTGGGAGCCACATGCCACTTTGTGGTTACAATATTTTCCCAGTCGGCTTACCTTTCTCATGGCACTTACAGATCTTTTTAGTTCAATACAATGATTAATGTAGGAATTAAAGCATAACAAATGTCATATAACCAGCAAATTCCACAAGTTCATTATTTGTCACTTTCCTTAGCTCTCTAAAATGCCCAACAAGAATGGTATGGTTTCTGTCTTAAAATCTTATCTTTGATGGGGAACTGTGACAGTAAATGCATAATCAAAAATGCACCCTGACAATATCAAATGGGCACACATCAAACTTGGAGGTTAATGGGAATGGGTGTTTAGTAGTTGAGCTGACTGTACCCCACGTCGGAGAACCTGGGTTTCTTATTCTTTAAAAAAAAAAGAATTTTATTTATTTGAAAGACAGTTACAGAGAGGTAGAGAGGAAGGTAGAGGGAGGGAGGGTGGTAGAGAGAGAGGTCTTCGATTCCGCTGGTTCTCTTCCCAAATGACCACAATGGCCAGAGCTGAGCTGATCCGAAGCCAGGAGCCGGGAGCTTCTTCCAGGTCTCCCATGTAGGTGCAGGGACCCAAGGGCTTGGGCCATCTTCTACTGCTTTCCCAGGCCATAGCAGAGAGCTGGATCAGAAGAGGAGCAACCGGGACCAGAACCCGGCACCCATATAGGATTCTGGTGCTGCAGGCTGGGGCTTTACCCACTGTGCCACAGTGCCAGTCCCCTGGGAGAACCTGGATTTCATTCTGAGCTCTGGCTCCTGACTCCAGCTTCCTGCTGATGTGCATTTTGGGAGGCAGTGGTGTTGGCTCAAGTTACTGGATTCCACCTACATGGGAAACCTGGATTATGGTTTCCAGCTCGGTTTCAGCCCAACTTCTGCTATTGCAAGCATTTGCAGAGTAAACCAGCACACAGGAGTGTGCATTCTCTCCCTCCTCCTTAAAGACAAAATTTAGATTAAAATTCAATGAACTTGCATGATTTTATTCCTAATATGTATGACAATCAACCTCTTACTTGTACAATACTGTTGAAAAATAAGATGGAGTTAATTAGGTAGCCCAGAGGTTACGAGAAAAGCTCAAATGCCATTTTTGAAGCAGAAACTTTTAAGAGCAATAGTTCTTAAGGGAAGGGAAACTAAGGAAATTGAGAAAGGAAAAAGCTTGCTGGAAAAGCAATTCAAATGTCACAGTACCTTGAGCATCATGCTGTCCTAGAGAGGAAGGTTAGCTCAAGAGTGAGCTGGCTGAGTCACTCATTTGCTGGCTGACTGCCTTTATACCCTCCAGTGCCCTGAAACATTTCCTTTCACTTTGCTCTGACTCTGGAATTTCCACAATTTCAACACCTCCCGGTTGAAGTCACTTGAACTTCCTCTGAAACGTTTTGCTGCTTTTGCTGGTGGATAAAGAATTAAATGAGGCTAGCAAGGGCATTAATGATGCACACGAAATTCCTTATGGGCATCAGAAAAGTAAATTTGTGATAAAACAAGGATTGCCTCTTGTGCCTAGATGCTGCATGTCCATGTCAGAATGATATTTACTCCTGCAACATTCCACTTTGAAAAAATTCATCTTAATGAATGTGTATGGGAAAAAACTTAGGAAAACTGCTACATACAGTTAAAAATCTGAAGTCTTGGTTATAAGATTAAAAATTGGACACTAGTGCCCCCAAATAGTGGATTGATGAAGTAAGATGTGGCATATGCAATTCTTAAGGCATATTTCTATTTTCCCTTTATACTTTACTCTCTCGGTCTAGGGAGAAATGTGCCATTAGAAGTTCTTGGGGTTTTTTTGACAAAGAAGCTGGAGGGGGCATTTTCGGCTCGTATCCTTGCTTGTTCTTGAATCACTCTTTCTCTGCGTATCTCTGGTTCCTGTTCCTCTGCGTATCTCTGGTTCCTGTTCCTCTGCCTGGCTTCAGGGATGTACTGCCTGTCTCACTTGCTTCCTGCTGTTGCCTGAGTCTGCTTCAACATGGGTTATACAGGTTTGTAATTCATCCCCATAGCTAGGTTTGTGTAACCTTAACTCTGCCCACCTGGTACATGCCAGTCTCTTGGCCTGCCCTTGTTCTGGACAACAGATTTGCACTCATAGTGGGTCTAAAAGCCAGGTTATTTAAAAATCTGAGCCTGTTCTACATGTAGTGGCAGGATTTGTTTTGGGGAGGAATGCATGCCAATTTTAGAGGAAATCTCCATGAGCCTTAGGGTTTTACCCCAATCCTGTTATAGAAGGGAGTGTTGAGAGGAAAAAGAAGAGCTAGACTAATGTGCATGAGAATTCAAGATGCTATTTTTCTTGAGGGCAAGTAGTATCCATGGGAGATAATGTGGGTTGATTTTGCTTCTCTTGATTAGAACCTGTGGAAAAAGGGTATTGGGATCTGGAGATATGGCCAAGGGCAGGGTCAGTAGGAGCCATTATGGATTGGGGTAATACCATGGCGATTGGTTAAGAGCTGCAGAAGGAGGTGCCCAGCAGGAAACTCTGTGTGAAAGGACACGAATAGACAGATTTAAAAAACGGTGAGGTTGAATATCTAATTTGAGGGCCAGCATTGTGGTGCAGCAGGTAAAGCCACATATATGAGATGCTGGTATCCCAAATAGTTGCTGGTTTGTGTCCTGACTGTTCTGCGTTGAAGCCAGTTTCCTAATAATGGCCTTGGAAAAGCAGTGGAAGATGCCCCAAGAGTCTGGGCCCCTGCCACCCAGGTGGGAGACTCAGATGAAGCTCCTGGCTTCACCCTGGCCCAGAGCTGCTTGTTGTGGCCATCTGGAGGAGTGAACCAGAAAGGGAAGTTGTCTCTCTCTGCCTTCCAAATAAATCTTTAAAAATACCTAACTTAAAGTTTGGCTTTTCAACAATTCCCTAAAGTTATCCTCAAATCCCTAGGAAAGCTTGCTACATACTGCAATTTGTGTTAGCCAAGATTTGGGAAATGAAGGCAGAGGAAGTTGTTCATGCATGGAATAAGAACAAGAGAGAAATGAAGTTACCAGTCAGAAAGCGACCAGTGCCAACCAAGGGAATGTAGGTACTCTGCTCACCCTAAATAGTTAAGGTTAAAAGGGATTGTGACTATTTGGATAGTATAGGGGACAGGGACGTGGAAGGATGAGGTCTTAGGAATATTTAGGTCATATTTGTCATGCATCTGCTGCCTAAAGTGGGCTTCCAAACTGTGGTCCAGATTGAGGAAACCCAGACACATATTCAGTATTGGCAGAAATGGTGGTTGTGGGCATCAAGGTACCATTTCAGACATTTTAATTTTTAACTTACTGGAAGAGAGAAAGAATGAGAGGCAAAGAATGTTCTCATCTGCTGATTCACTCCTCAAATGTTTGCAGTTGGGCTGGGCTGGCTCAGAGCTGGGAACCAGGAACTAGATCCATCCATGTACAAAACATGAGTGTAGTAGAAAAAAAATTACTTGAGCCATCACCACTGCCTCCTAGGGTCTGCATTAGCAGGAAGCTTGATATCAGGATCTAGAGCTGTGACCCGAACCCAGACACTCTGATGTGGGATGCAGGCATTCTAACCAGCATCTTAGCATCTATCCACAGACAATATTGGTGGATTCCACAACCACCATCAATAGAACCTTGGATTCCAATATGCAAAGAGCAAGATGGATATTTGGGATGGGAGTAGGCAAGATGGATATTTTGTGGCCATAGTAAAAAATGATCAGTTTATGAGGTTCTGTGATATATTCCTGAATTATATGTATAATTTGATGTTTTAGGGTAATTGTAAGTTGAAAGGAAACATAAACATACAGTCTGACAATCACTTTAAATAGAAATCAACTATTTCAGTTAGAAGTTGTGTTTTTTTCTTACATATCCAGGTACTCACTTATATGCAAAAGTTAATATGGTAGATTCGTGTGGTTTGCCCAAGGAAACTGAGAGTTGCCAATGTTATTAGTTGCAATCTAAATAAGAGAAAGACAAGACACCAAGAGGTAAAATAGATTTTTTTTTCAAGTTAAGAGTGAGGTTGGGAGTTGAGCCTGGTAAGACCAGTTGTACTTGAAACTGAAGAGTGGGCTAGGATGGCTTTAGCCATCCATGGTGAAAAGGCTTTATAAAGAAATGAAGAGCTTTCCTAAGTCAGTTGAGCTTTAATGGGAGTTGTATCATTAAGTTTCTAGGCCTCAGGTTTTGCCACAGGTTAATTCAGAAAAAGAGTTAAATCACTTGCTAGTTTAATTAATTATAAACCTAATAGTGGTATGGAACTATGACAACTACTAAGATTTTCTGTAACTAGAGTTAATTTTTCAAATTTCTTGGTTTTGAGGGGCAGGGGGAGAAAGAGCAAGTGAGTTCTCATGCACTGGTTCACTCCACAAATGTCACAAAAGCCAAGACAAGGCCAGGTTAAAGCCAGAAGCCTCAAACTCATTCCACATCTCCCACATGCGGGACAGGGAACCCAGCTTCTTGAATCATCACCACTGCCTCCCAGGATGCACATTAGCAGGAAGCTGGAAATGAGAGTGGAGTCAGAACTTGAATCTAGACCCTTCAACATACAAAGCAGCCATCCCAAGAGGTGCCTTAACCACTGCACCAAGCACCTGCCCCTAAGGTCACTTTCTGTTATTTTTGAACACAAATCTTCTCCTTGAGCCTCTCACCCTGGAGGAAGGAAGCAATGCTGTAAGCAGCCCTGTGGGGTGGAACTGAGGCCTCCTTTGAACAGCTAGCTTCAGTGTTGACCTTTCCAAAGTAAGTTAAGGCTTCAGAGACTACAGCCCAGCCAGTAGCTTGACTGTACACCTTATGAGGGACATCAAGCCAGAGCCACCCAACCAAGTCGATCTAAGGTTCCTGATCCTTAGAAATTTCGGAGAATAATACAGGTTTGTTGCTTTAAGTGGAGGATTTTTGAGATAATTTATTACACAATGTATTAGGGTTCTCCACAGAGAAACAGAACTGAGAGCTGATGGTGTGGTTCCAGACCAAGTACTAGCAAACCAGGGGCTTGGAATAGCAGATGTTTTAGTTTGAAGGCAGGAGAAAACTCTTGTCTCAGCTCAAAGGCAATGAGTGGGAGGAATTATCTTTGTCCTATTCAGGCCATTAACTAATTAGATGAGGCAGACCACTTTACCCAGCCTGTCAACTCTCCACGCTCAACTCACCCAAACTATCTCTCCTGGAACATCCAGAATAAAATTAGGCCAAATATTTGGGCACCCTGTGTCCAGTTATGTTGACACATAAAATTAATACAGATTCCAAGCTGATAAAATGACCTATATAGGTCCTTGAGATTATGACTTGGTTATCACTTCATTCTCATATCAAGCTTTGTAGTTGTCATCTGCTCATGTTCTCTGAGGCCATGGTATGTATTGGCTTAGGAGACTTCATACTTGTGATTCCCTCTTGCTTCTTGGGTCTTCTCTCTGGGGTGCCTTTTTCTATTCACTCATCTCATAACTTTATTCCTTTCCTTTTCTAAGATAGTGATCTTAACTAGGGATGAGCTTGTCCTCCAGATGACATTTGGCAATGTCTGAAGATGTTTGGTTGTCACCAAACTGTGACATATAGTAGGATGCTAAACATCCTAAAATGTACAGGAGGCCCCTACAACAAATCAAACTGGCTGAAAAGACTAATAGCCCAAAAGTTGAGAAACTCCTGTCTAAGTGTACAAGTTGCTTCCAGGAGCCCTCCATACTTTAGGCTTAGGTTAAGTGCTAGACCTGTGCATTCCTCTAGGGCACAAGGGTTTCCTCTTCGTATCCTTTATTAGATAGGAAATTTCTCTCTAGGCAAAGAACAGTTCTACTCTGTTAACTACTATACCCCAGGGTCTAACACAGGACTCTACACAGTAGGTGCTACAAGAACATGTAATATCTGAATTACTGCAAACCTGTTTTCAGTCATTCCTACTAATGCATGAGTCCAGTTTAGCCTGTCTTCATTCTCTGTGGAAAAGTATGAGAACACATCCTCCTTTCAATGACTCTGACCCTTATCCTATTCTGCAATGAGAGCAGATAGAACGCGGTGAGCAGATCTTCATTTTGACAACAGCAGTTTCAGATATAAAGAACTGCTTGTGGGAGACTGTCAACCACAAGAGAAAAAACTCAATTAGGAGTACTGGAAATAATGAATTGGGA